CTGTGCAGATCTTGACCAAGTACGCCCTGCGGCGCACGTTGACCCACGCCACCGCCGCGCGAAGGCGAACGATGAATTGGTCTCTGGTCTCGATCGAGTCCGGCTCTGTGGCGGCAAGACGAGCCCGCACCTCTCGCCACGCGGCCTCGATCGCGTTCAAGTCCTGGCTGCACCTCGGGTAATGCTCCAAGAGGTGGATGCCCTGCTCGCGCAAGGCGCAGCGCGGTTCCTCGGCCCAGAGGCACCGCTCATGATCTTGGACCAAAAATGGCCCGCGGTCGCCCCCGATCGCCTTGCGCAGCCACGCAGGGAACTTGTGGTTGATAATCCACTCGTACCACCAGCGGTTCATCGTCTCGCCCTGAGGCATGATGTAGATGAACAGCACCCCTGCCACGAGCAGCCCCCATATGCGCACCGGATGGCCCTGCGCCTTCCAGTAGGCCGACGGCCCGATGCACTCCTCGTACAGGCCGTCGGAGCCATCTGCCTGGCGCCATACATGCGGGCCCAATGCACCGCGCTGGTGCGACTCCAACTCGGAGTTGTCGCGGGCCAGGAAGAACACCGTGCCGTCGGTGTACGCCCACCGCGCCAGAGTGGCCGCGGTGCGCGCAAGAGTCCACGCGGCGAAGTCGAGCCTGGCCACCTGTCGGCCGAGAGCAGACGTTTCAATGCGCGCCAGGTGCCCCGCGGCGCACGGGGCACGCATGCGGGTTTGATCGGGGTGGCTGCCAATCGAAACGTCTGCCCGAGCCACCTTGTGTGCCTGCGGCACAATGGACTTGCGGCGCCTCCGAAGCCAAGCGAGTCCCGCCTCGCTCAAGCGCCGCTGCACCGCGCGGATGCTCACCTTCCGCGCCGCCCTGATCATCTTCTGCACGTACTGGGCCGTCACCACTGCGCGGCCGCGGTGCTTGAACACGAGGCGCAGGATCTGTCGGTCCAGAGCCGTCTCCGTGCTGCGCGGGCGGCCCGCCTGAGAAAGTCTCCCTCCGTCAAAAGCGAGACCGCCGTTCTTCTCCACGCGGCGGATTGTTGCAGCCACTGTCTGCTGGCACGGATGGCCCCCGTCTTCCTTCGCCACCTCCTCGGCGATCTCCTGGTAGCTGGACCCGGCCAGGAAGAGGCCGTACACGACGCCGCGAAGGAATGGCGACAACTGGGCGCGAGGAGGCATGGCGGCGGGAGACCTGGGCCGAGCGGCGTCGGCGCGCAAAACTGCCGCGCGCGGCGCCCAAGAAACTCGAGCACGGCAGCCGCGGAAGACGCGCGGGGCCGGCGACGGCGGCGCGGCCGACGGCGGGGGGCAGGCACCGATCTACTTGATCCTATCAAGGAGATATACTTATGGACCCCCCCGCGGCAACTGGCAGCCGCCCCAGGACCCCCCCGCGGCAACCTGGGAGCCGCCCACTCGGCGTGCGCTTTGATTCAGCGCGGCGAACACCGCAGTCACTTCGACATATTATTTGCACAACAACTACCCACCCTTGCCCACCAGAGTGTATTTTTTGCAAAGGATTATGGCCGGGTAGTTGTTGGCACTAACCAACAACTACCCGGCCGCCGCCCATTCGGATTGGATTTTTATATAGCGCGGCGAACACCGCAGTCACTTCGACATATTATTTGTACAACAACTACCCACCCTTGCCCACCAGAGTGTATTTTTTGCAAAGGATTATTGCCGGGTACTTGGGTAGTTGCACTTTTCTAAAAGAATAAGAAGGCCCCCCTTTCCTTTCTTTTAAAAATCTGCAACTACCCAAGCACCCGGCAATAATCCTTTGCAGAAAATACACTCGGGTGGACATGGGTGGGTAGTTGTTGTACAAATAATATGTCGAAGTGACGTCGGTGACCGCCGCACTATATAAAACTACAATCCGAGTGGGCGGCGGCCGGGTAGTTGTTGGTTAGTGCCAACAACTACCCGGCCATAATCCTTTGCAAAAAATGCACTCTGGTGGGCAAGGGTGGGTAGTTGTTGTGCAAATGATATGTCGAAGTGACTGCGGTGTTCGCCGCGCTACATCAAAGCGCATGCCGAGTGGGCGGCTGCGGGGCAGTTGGACAAATACCCGCCATCATCCTTTGCAACAGACTTCCTTTGGGCGGCGGCGGCGCGAAAGCTCCCAGCCGCACGAATTTCCATAACATTGGAACGTCTACCTGTGATTTCGCACCGCCCCTTCTCCCTAGCTGTGCCGGTGTCGACACAACGACCTAAACGCGTCTTCCGTGTTGTTGACCTGGCGATTTGCTACTATTACGCTACCGCGGACGCCGAGAATCGTGCGAAATCTCCCAGACGCAAGAATTTCGATAAAATTGGAACGTCTACTCGTGATTTTAAACGAACTCCTTCTCCCTAGCTGCGCCGTATCCGATTCAACGACCTAAACGGTCTTCCGTTTTGTCGACCTAGCGATTTGCTAACTGTTACGCCACCGCGGACGCCGAGAACCGCGCGAAAGCTCCCAGACGCACAAGCTTCCATAACTTTGGAACGTCTACCCGTAATCTTACACCAGGTGACTGTGGTGTCGATGGCTGAGGTGTCGATGGCGCAGACGACGATGCCGATGATTTATCTGTCTGGTCCCCCCGAATCTGTTCAGTTCAGCGCCGCGCGACCAGGGGTGGGCGGCTGTCTGGGCGGCGGCAAGCTAGTCGCCGTTCAAGAGATTATGTTTGAGGTGCTGGAACTCGTCCGCGGACAGCAGACCGTTGTCAAGGAGGCCCTTCATGGCGACCAGCTCGGCCACGCACTCGGCCGCAGTGCGGGCCCGCTTGGGCGCGGGCTGGCCGCCCTCTGGCCCGGGCCTCGACCCCCCTGGCGCGGCCCCTGCTGGCGGTGGCTCGGCTGGCTCGGCTGCGGGCGCGTCTAGAGTCTGCCTCCCTTCAAGGTAGAGTCTCGCGGTGCAGTGGGCGCAATGCCTCAGGACCTCCTGCCGCTCCTCTGTGGGGACGGTGTACGTGCAGAAGAAATAACGGATTCGCCTGTCCATCTGGTCTGTCTCGTACTTGTCCTCTCGCCCGTCGCGCATCAGCCTAATCTTGTCGGGCGCAGTGATCAAGATCGGAGCCGTGCCCTCCCACATCACGTCACCGCCTCTGTTCTTGGGCCTCCCGACGTTCACTGTCTCGCCCTCCAAGAAGTCCTTGAAGTACGACCAGTCCATCCACGCCTCCGCAGCTGTGTTGTACTCGAAATCGTTCAAGAAAACGAACTCCTTTTCCAGCAACGCTTCGAGTTGGTAGTTCCCCCTGTCAGGCCTCTTGTAGGTGTCGTGCGCCAGCGTCAAGCCCCTGAAGAGGAAGCTCTTGCCGGAGTCTCCAGCGCCGACCAGACAGATCGCACGCTGTTTCGCCCTGCCTGTTCTCAGCGTGCCGAGCACCGCGGCCTGGAGGGAGCCGTCGAAGCCGTTCTTCTGAAGCAGCTTCTTCATCATGTCGTAGCACAGCCCCTCGCGATCGCACCTGCACTTACCACCAACGAAGCACTCTTCCAGCAGCTGTTCCCGCGTGAGCCCCGCCCTCCTGGCCTTCTCCTGGGCCTGCTGCGCCTTGAGCACCTTGGCAAACATCGCCTCCCCGTCGTTGTCGTACAGGTACGCCAGCATGGCGCGGTCCCCGCCCTTGGCCAAAAGAGCCGCCGTCGCCCACATGTCTGTGTTCGTCTTCACGTTGTGCTCCCGGCAAAGGTCTCCGAAAGCCAGACTGGTAAGTTTCGTGTGTCGGACGAACCCTTCCTTCTGCCACCGCTTCGGGAGGCACTCGCTCAAGGGCAACGGGTTTCCTCCATCCCTGCGCCACTGCAAGGGGCCTTGGTCCAAGGCCTCAGGCTGTTTGTGGTCTGAGGCCACACGGCCGTAGACCACTCCCTCCGCCCACGTTTTTATGTGGGTGGCAAAGTCAACGTGCACCTTGTGGCTCTGTCTGAAAACTCCCGCTACCTTCTTCCACTTGTATTGCGCCAGCGACCGCACTAAGCAATTGTTGTGTGGGAGCCCATTCTCATGGGGCTCGCGAAAAGTAGCCGTCTCCTCCAAGGTCACGCCACTGGCAGTGTGAACCTGAACCACCATGGCGTTGAATTCTTCCCTGGTGAAGTCGGACGGGGTCTTCAGGCCCAGGCGCTCCACCGTCTCCGGCTTCGGATGCGCCTGGGTGATCCAGTACGCGTACTGTCCCTTGGCTCCGCGGCCTTGCTGTGGAGGCCCAGTCGACGACACGTCCTGCAAGGCCTGCAAGGCTGGGGCGGCGGCGCCATCGTCGGCGCCACCGACTGGGGCCTGCTCAGCGCCAGCGTCAGCCATAGAGTGGCACCCTTGCCACTCTGGGCGTCGCGCGCCGAATGGTTTGAGCCAAAATGGCTACGGAATCATATGCGAATCAAAAGACGGGCCTGAGCACCGTGACTGCGAGCACCCGGGCACCTCCTGTGGACACCACACCAATGGCGAACACTTCAGCCTGCGAGCAGCACAAGCTCGCAGAGCGCAATCTGATCAATCAGGGGTACGTTTTTGCCCCAATGCAAGCCCCACAACGCCTGAGCACCACCGTGACTGAGAGCACCAGTTTGCCTGTAGACATCGCACTAATGGCGATCACGTGAGCCTACGAGCACCACAAGGACGCAGAGCGCAATAGGATAAATCAGGAGTGCGTGTTTGCCCCAATGCAAGGTCAAGCTCATCCATCCTCCATCCTCCCTCCAAGCGTTTGGGAGGCGGCTCCTCCCAAAACGCCTGGAGCCCTCCCATCCCTCCTAAACCCTCCGTGCTCCTCCCAAAATCTCTGAGCCCTCCCATTCCTGAGCACCCCTCCGCACTCCTCCCAAAACCTCCAGAACCTCCCAATCAATCAGAAACCCTCCGCACTCCTCCCAAAACCTCTGGACCCCCCAACCGTCCAAACCTCACTCATCCCTCCTGCTCCTCCTCCTCCTCCTGCTCCTCCTCCTTCTCCTCCTCCTCCTCTTCCTCCTT